GTGAGAGTGTGTGTGTGTTTGTGTTAGTAACAGATAAAGCTCGGAGCGGAGCTCTCTGTCAGATCACAGCTTCTTCACTTGCAGAACAGACCGGTCTCACCTGTAGGATTGATCCCAGATATGAGGCTCTGTGCCCGGGCTGGAGCCTGGTGTCTCCTGCCCATCCTGGTTCTTCTGACTGTCCTCCATGTCAAAGCAAACCAGCATCAACCCAGGGAGAGACACTATTACATTGCTGCTGTTGAGATAGACTGGAACTACTCTGGGAATGACGCAAACAGGTAGGATACTGGTTGAAGGATTTGTGATATTAGATGACAAGAATAAGATATGCAAGACTGTATTTTGTTTCATTATGATATTCCCTCAATATTTGGAGATTTTATTATTTTATATTATATTTTTGTGTGATAATTTATTTATCTGAATTCTGTCAGAGCTCATTCTGTTATTGAACTTGTTTTGTAAAACAGTCCAGTCTGTCCTTGTTTAATCTCTCTTTGACTGGTCTTCATCCTATGGCACTATCAGCGGTACTATGACACACACATTAGTTGCAACATATAAGGAAACTTGTGACCTCATATCTTAAAGTCCATGTGCTGTTAGAGTGGTGTGCAGGACGTGTGTTCTTCTGGTATGGAGATTTATGTTTTGTGTTTTCCTCCTGCTCCTTACTATAGGTTTGGTCCCACCTATAAGAAAGTGGTCTTCCGGGAGTATGAGAAAGACTTCAGACAGGCTAAGACCCATCCCTCCTGGTTAGGTAAACTTTGCGTCTGTCTGGCTTTAATTACTAAGAAACACTCATCCTGTCTCCTCTTAATCATTTCTTAGAGAGGAAATGAAATGTACACTACATAACTGTTATTTCTCAGCAGGTTTCGCAAAAAGAGTTATGTAATTTTGTAGTAATTATAGTGGGAACTCAAATGTTTCTCAACTGGTACACTTAGTAAGTACCTGCAGATTTATGTCAGTTGCAAATACCATTAGGAGCACTAGGAGAAGCAGGAGGAAGCTGATTTTCACAGTTTATCTGTTCCATGTACAACTGTCAGGATATAGTGAAAGTTTCAGAAAATATGAGAAAGACTTATTGTTATAAAAAATGACTGACTGCAGCTTTAATGATGATAGTATGTTAAAGGAAAGCCCTGCAGGTCTTTTTTTTTTTAAAAGGTGGAAACACAAAATCTGCTATGGAAACTGTCAACACAAAATTTTTAATTTCTGATTTCACATATTTATCATGCCTTAATTGGGAGGCAAAGTTGACTTTCTTTTTAAAACACAAATAACAAAAATAACAAATAAGTAATTTGTTGTTCTGAATCCAGTGGTACCAAGCATTTGATATAACTCCTTGTAGTTGAGATACAGCTATTTCTGTATCACACTATGTATATCGGGGTACTTATTTTATCCCATATATACATTATAAAATGTCTCTAAGGTCTAAAAATTCTGGGACTAAAAAAAGTACGATAAGAAAAATCTCTTTAAGATTTTTTTTTTCTTACCAATTTGAAGAATTTTGTGCTTAGCTCAGCTAGTACTGTAAGTGCTGTAAAGGAAATTATAAAATTCCACTGTAGACATTAATGGGTTAGTTACCAAAGTACATTTTGCTTTTCAGAAATGTTCTTATGAAATAACAATTTACAAAAAAGAAATATAAAGCAGAACCAGATAGGCTAAATATCATCATATATCATCATGCTTGTACGTTACAGTTAATGTGCCAATGTTGAACTGACATTTCCTGCACCGTCAGTGAATCACCAACAATAACAGAAAAGGAGTAATGATTCAGTATGACACTTTGTTCCACCATGTTGTGAGGGTGTACCAAGTGATCCCAAATAAATTGTCTCTCTCTGCAGGGCTGCTCGGACCCACACTGAGGGCAGAGGAGGGGGAAACGATTGTCGTCACTTTCAGAAACATGGCGACTGGAGCACACAGCATCCACCCACACGGGGTTGCTTATGGGAAACAGTCAGAGGGTGGGTAAATGTTAGACGAGCTGCAGATGAAACCTGACAGCTGTGGTAAACCTGAAGAGACCAGTAACACTCCACAGCGCTGGAGCGTCTGTTAGGGTCACTGTGGGTGCTTGTGATGTTACTCATTCAATAATTACACAAGATTGGCCAACACAACAAACACGCTTGTTTGTCTTTTACTAAAATATTAACCAGTACAGGCAGATTATCAAAGGAGGCAGTACTGAAGTCCAACAGGATGCATTGCTGAGCCTTAGAAAATCACTCTGTGTCCATTCACATAGAGACAAATAACAAGACATTAGTGCCTTTGAGGATGTCGGAAATTAACACTAAGCCCTCCTTTATTCACTTTTAATGCAAAACTCAGACTGCAGAGGAAGTGAAAACTAAAGAATAGCTTACAGGGAAGTCTTCATTAAGTCTTCATTATTTTTTAGGCTTGAGTGGAATGTAATTTCACAAAGTTTGTTATGAAAGTCAATAATGACCTCAGGCACCTGCTTGGTTAAAGCTCCCCTCCAGTAAGAAATCAGTGTTTCTCCTTGTTCCTACATTGTGCTGTTTGAATGCTGTATGTGCAGAGTTTGACACTAGAAGGATGTTTTCACATTTCATCTGCTGAAAGTGGAAAGTTT